ATTACCAATATTTTCTAAGTTTTCTCATCTTTCACTCTTATTTTTTATATGAATGTAGCTGATAATCAAATAAACGTTGATTTCTTAAGCATGGTAGTGGAGAAAGATTCATTTATTCCTTTTATTACAGTTTTGCCTTTTATTCAAGCTCATCTGCCATGAAGGTACCAATATTCCTGCTAGCAAATTCCGTTATTCTTTTGTTATTTTTTCCTCCATCCCTTCCTCTCCTCCTTCCTTCCTGATATACTAAGAAGCCCCCTTCTTCCCTCATCCAGTTGGCTCACAAGGGAAGCACCAAAGGCGACTTTGTCCAGTGACAGCCTTTCTTTTAGAGACCTGCTTTCATAATTACCTAGGCTTTGATGTGTGTGTTCCCAAATTTGCTGCCATTCCTTGACGGTGCAGGTGAGCTCCCTCTCAAGTTTTCGCCCTCGTAACTTGACTTCCCAGAGGCAAAGACATGCTCTCTACCTGACTGCATTATGAAACACTCGGGTTTGCCTGACCCACCCCTCCTCAGCTGCACCACCCAGGGCACTCTGAAGATGAAGTAGACCTGGCTGGAGCTTAGCAGTGCCGTGCTGGCTCCAGACGAACTTAGGCCGACATGGAAGCCCCAAGACCAGGCCGTAGCGGGTCATCTCCAAACCTTTTTGAAGTAAGTTTTCACTGGATTATTTCACTGCTGGTTGTTGTGATGCCACTTCTGTGGCCTTTCCATTAGATCTATGCTCCAGAAATCTGAAGCCTTTCACTGCAGAGTTCCACAAATGAGGGCGACCAGCCGCGGGCTCACTCTTGCCTGTAAAACCCTCTTCTCTTGTTAATTTATCCTGTATTTCTTGGCAAAAAGACTTCCTAGGAATTACCTTTACTTCTTGGCTGGCCAAAAATGAAAAGGGAGCTTGGAGTGAATTGAAGGTGAGATAACACACTTAATTAGGGACATTCATACATGTTTCTTATAAGTACCTTACAGTCCATCTTTATAACATAGTTTGTTTGGGTCCCATGAGTTATATCAGCTATTATTTACCACATATTCAACATTATTGACAATTTGAAAATAGATGGCAAACAGACAGTAGCTCTGCGAGCTGAAGGTGTTTGTATATTTGCTGTTCTGCTGTGTTCCTGACACTGGGATCTGCTTGGTAGAGACAGACAGAGGTGCTTATTACTCAGAGACTATTTGCTGGTGACTGGCTGATTGAACAAATTATTAGCGTATTTGTAGTTATCTGACATTCTTTGTGAGTGTGATGAAGTCTATCCTTCATAGAAAACTCTAGGAAGACAGATACCCAGATCAGAGGGCTACATCCTTCTGTATAGAGACAAGGCAGTTAGTTTATGTCCTAGATAATTTTGTCTTGAAGGAAGCACATACTATGTTCACAGCTTTTCATTTTCTCTTTTAGTTATAAGGTAAAAAGAACTCATATATAAAGACAATGAGTCCATTTTGTTGATTAGTTTTCCCCATGTTAATTAGTGCCTGTCTTTTAGGAATCCCTAGATACCAGCCAGACATCTGTGTTGAACTCCACAGCCCAGCCTGGAGGTTGAGCATAGCCAGGCCCTGGAGTAGCCACGGTTGTGCTACCCACAGCTTATAGGAAGGGTCAAACACAATTTCATTTGAGCTACATTTTTCAATTTCATGTTTGCTATTCTTTTTTTTTTTCAGACGCTTCTAGTCTAGCAGTAAAAAGATGGGAGTTAAAGATGAGGATCTGAGATCCTGGTGGAGAACATGGCTGTCTCCCGTAACCAACACCTTCTTCCCCATATACTTAGCTTAGAATCCATTTTTCCTCCCTTGTTCCTCCAATGCAGACCTGGTAGAAGGCTCTCCCAGGAGGGAGGGTGGCGTAAGTGACACGACCAGTTGTGCTGTGTCTGCAGCACTATGGCCAGAAGTCCTGTGTGAGACTTTCAGTCCTGCATACTGAGCTATAAAAAGCATGTTACTCAGCCTGATCCTTTTATGTTGTAGTTGACGTGTTATGGGATTTCACTTTATAAGACCTTAACTTCAATCCATAAATATTTCTCATGTTAGCTAGATGTGGAGCTTTCTTTTTTAAATCCCTCTTGTAATTTACTCAGACTTCATCCACGGCGATCATGTCTATAACTAATCAATTAGAGAAGACACCATAGCACAGTGGGGAAACATGCAATTGTGAGTACGGATCCAGCTCTAACCAGCTTTTTCTCCAGAATAGGTCAAACCCTTCCGTGTCGCTTTCTCAGTTAAGCAGAGGACGTTTCTCAGCATGAACGGCACTCAGCTCTCATGCTCTGGCTAGTGATAGAAAGCCAAGGATTTGAATGAGCCCTATCATCCCTTCAGTAAACGTGAGGTAAATCCGGATGTAATTTAACCTAATCTAGCCTATCCACTCGGTTTCTAGAGGAGACAACTAAGTGAACTTCAGTGGTATGACGTGGCATGTTGTTCCTCTCAACCTTGTGGTGGCAGTGAGAGGTAGAGGAAGCAGACGTTTCCAGAACGTGGTAGAACTCTCTCTTTTCTTTCTGGCATTGCCTACTGTGATAGTTCCGATATATCTCACGGCAGAGAGTTGATGGCATCACAATTAACCATGCATTAGTTGTGTTCAGGTTCAATGCAGACCCCGAGCCCTTAGAGAAGAAGAGGGTGGTCACCCTCTTTTTTAAAGAAACCTCTAGGGGCTGGAGAGATGGCTCAGAGGTTAAGAGCATTGCCTGCTCTTCCAAAGGTCCTGAGTTCAATTCCCAGCGACCACATGGTGGCTCACAACCATCTGTAATGAGGTCTGGTGCCCTCTTCTGGCCTGCAGGCATACACACAGACAGAATATTGTATACATAATAAATAAATATTTTTAAAAAAAAGAAAAGAAACCTCTAATTTTGCCTTCTGACTTCACTCTTCAAATCATGGCAATCGTTCAATTAACGAAGGAAGTCAGGGGGAAGGTCCATATAAGCAACCAAAGTTTGGGGTGCTAGTCCACACCCCATGTGGGAAATCTGATAGACAAGTGGTGTGAGCTACCTTAGGTTCCTGCTCTGCAAGCTGTCTTCCTGCTTAGACAGGGAGTGTTATCAAAGCCTAATCTTGTGTTCCTTGTAGAAGCTGGTCTCTTTCTGACTCCACTATTTCTTTGACCATTATCAGTATCCTCCAAGTGACTCATCTGTGAGTTCTCCAACCCCCTCCACTACATTGAAACACAAGGTGTGTGTGACACCAGTCTTAGTTCATCAGTGCTGTTACTTTTCTTCACACTAGTTGCACTAAACCATAGCTCACGAATAGTTAGAAACATGGGTTTAGAGGAAGGCAGAACTGACCTTGAGTCTCGGTTCTGGTATGTACTACAAATTTGCATCGTTGCTTAATCCTTAGTTGCTGGCATCCTTAGTCACCGTTCTTGTAAGAAAGAAAGGATGGTTATGCAAAAACCGACAGAATTGTAGGAAATCAATGACACAAAGCATGCAAAATACTCAGGCAAATACTTGCCATGTAATGTGTGTTCAACACATAATGGCAGCTATTACTATTACCTTCCCTCTTCCACCTATCTCCCTCTAGCGGGTTCACCCTCCTAAGGGCTGACTAAGGACTTGCTGAGCTCTCTTCCCCTCCAAAGGGAAGGAATCCTAAGTGCAGTGAAAAGTCTTTTCAACCAGATGCTTGGGATACCATTTGCCAAATAGCTAAGACAAGAGAAGAAACATATATAGAGTATGTTCTAACAAAAATAACTTTAAATTTATATCAAGATACAAAAATACCCTAAATAAGAGTAGGAACATATATAGAGTATGTTCTAATAAAAGTAACCTTATTTTCATATACAAAAATCCATAATATGTAAAATATATGAGATTAATAGTTGCTTTTTAGTTTAAAGAAGATTCAATAATCTACCCTTTCATCCTATCCTTTCCATATCCCCATCCTTTTTTTTTTAATTCAGAAAGAGATCCTTAAATCCACCCTCTTTTGCTTAGTTTCCTCCCTAACCATGACCAGTAACAATTTTCAACTGACCCCTCTAAATGATCCAAACATTCCTAAGCACCCAGTGACCAGAAACAACTCAACCCTCCTCTTGGGAAGGTGGACACTGTGTTCTTAAAATTACTTCATGTTGTCTTTGCGGGGTGGCAGCTTCTGTAGGGGACCCTGAGAAAATTTAGATAGTGGTCAAATCTTGGGAGATCTATCTGTTGTCCAGTCTCAGTCTGATGGGAAAGTGCAGGGCCTATCTGAAGTCCTGGCTGGAGCAGTCTGTGAGGCTGGACCCTCTCAGCTAGCAGCTCTGAAGTGATCCTGAACAGTTAGTTAGTAGTCAAAAACTGACCTTTGGGTGGTGTTTGTCAACTTAATTGCACGACCACTATCCATGTGGAATTGTTATGGGCCCATCATTTTTTGGAAACTTCAAAGTTGCTGCTAGGAATGGTTCACTGAAGAAAACTTAAGACATTTTAAATGTCACATGCGGCAGATCTCAGAGAGGTTAAAGGACCACAATCTGTTAAGTATATCCAGAGTGCACAAGCTTAATTCCTAGTTACCTGATTCAGACTCAAACCTGAAATCATGTATAGGAAGCTAGGTGAAGCCTATTTCCAGAATGAGTTAGTACTCTGTATTAAATTATAGTTTCATCCATAGCTGAGTCTATCAATGCCAATTATTTGTATTTTTAGCTTTGGTATTTGATCATTTATAGAAGCTTATTAAAATACTTGCTGTTTCTTTTCTTTATATTTCAGGGCAGTTTGGTGGCTAGAATACTCCTTGCCTGAGGGCAATAGTAGATTTAATGTAGGCACCAGCATTGAATTACTAGTAGAAGCTATATGGAGATTAGTGTTGTCAAATGCTCTTTTCAGAGGGAAAGACTGCCTGGTTTTACCTTGTGTGCGTTCTGATGCAGAAATGGAGCCCCGCCCTTGTATATAACAACATTTAAGAAGTAGTTCCAGTGCTCGCTTCAGCAGCACATATACTAAAATTGGAACGATACAGAGAAGATTAGCATGGCCCCTGCACAAAGAAAAAAAGAAAAATAAAGAAGTAGTTCCAATGTTTCACTGATGGAGGAAGGTCATTGGCTAATAAAGGAACTGCCCTGGCCCATTTTATTGGTTAGAGGATAGGTGGGAGGAGTAGACAGAACAGAACGCTGGGAGGAAGAGGAAGTGAGGTCAGAGACTCGACCGCTGTCCTCTCGGGAGCAGACGCCTGAGAGAGACGCCATGCCCTGCTCCCGGGATGAAGCTCCGACCCAGGATGGACATAGGCTAGAATCTTCCTGGTAAGCGCACCTTGGGGTGCCATACACAGATGATTAGAGATGGGCTAAATTAATATGTGAGAATTAGCCTAGAAGAGAATGGGCCAAGCAGTGCTTAAAAGAATACAGTGTCTGTGTAATTATTTTGGGGCATAAGCTAGCCGGGCAGGCGGCTGGGGTGTTGGGGACGCAGCCCCGCCGCCCCTATTACTACATTTCACAATACAAAATAATACAATTTTCAGGGTCCAGTAAGTTCATTCCACTGAAGGCTAAATAATTTTCCAAGGCTCTCCATAACCATATAGAGCATTGCTTTATACTCTTTATTTCTTGTTCATCTGGACAGTCTCCAAGGCAGATTTCATTGCTCTCCTCATCTCCTTTTTACAAATGAGGAGGCAAAGCATCAGGAGGTTGGATATTTTGCATAATGACACAATAAATGGTGGGACTTGGCTTTGAAACCTAGCCCCGAGGTCCATCCTTTGGCTTCCGTTCCAAGCAGGAACATATGTAACATAGGCCTTTCGTTACCCCCAGGGCAAATTTAACCATCCTTCAAAATAAAGAAATCAGAGGAAATTTGATTTAGAATTTTCAGAGAATTAATTTTACAAGGACCCACATCCCTGTTCAAATAGGCACCTCTTCCTGATGTCTTAGCTTGCCTCAGCAGTGAACTTGAGAACCTCTCAGACTGGATTTATCCCACTTCCCGCAGAGTTCAAGGCTGGACAGAGGTATTTATGGGATCCTCCAGCGGCTGGAGGATGAGACAGGGACTCGGAGCCTCCGTCCCCACTTCAACAGGCATGGTCATATTTTATTCACTTAAATACCAGGATTCTAAATAGGACTTACTTCCAACAAGTGTCTGCCTTTACAAAATCTTCTAAATATCTTTCCCAAATCTTTCAAAAATTCTGACCCAGGGAAATAAATGGGCAAGAACTTTTGGGGTAACTCTTATTAAATATTATTTCTGGCCAGGGAACTGTTGGTGTGAGTTTGGCAGCCTACCACATAAAATTAGTCTTACAGTTAATAAACAACATGTGAGTCAAACATTCATGGATCACCTGTGTCACAGAGAGAAGCAACATGAAACAAAGTCTAGGACACTCAATGTGGATCAAAATAATCATCAAGAGGTGTTCAGTGGCTCAGTCCCTGAGTTTAGAAATTTACATGTCAAAATAGAAGGTGTCAGGTGTCTTCATAAGCACTTGCTTTCTTATTATTGTTTTTGTCAAGAGCATATATATATAAATATATATGTATATTATATCAGTTATATCTGGTTTCAGTGGCTTTTGTGGTGTCAGAGTTTTCAGTTGAAGAGCAAAGGTCTTTCCACATCAACACATGTTCTGATCACAGCTATCTGCAAATCTCCTGCTGTCGGCCTGCTTTTCATCAGACTCAAACACACGCCAATACCGATCTGGCAAACAGGGCGGCAAAGATTCTGCTGGGCCAAGCTTTAGGTCTGTACACCTCAGCATCTGCTAGGCTCATCTGTGTACTTCCTTGTGTGCTCTGGACTAACACACAACTCTGGGGACATTTTGCAAGAACCCTCATCTCTGTCATCTACCAAGCCTCGACATTTCATCGAGTTCCCCATATGCCCTGGCAGTATCTGATCACCTTGGCCTATCGTAAGCGTAGTTGGTTTAGTCAGAATTTATCCAACTTCCCCATGTTTCCTCTCAGTAATTTTCCATTCCCTGACCCTTGCTCCACTTCCTCCCACTCGTCTGTGCTATACATGGAGTTGAACCCACTAATTTTCTGTCCTCCACTGCAAAATACTGTCATGTGCCTATGGTGACGGCTTTGAAAATATTCCCATTTCCTATTTAACAAATTTTACTTTGTGGCTGGGGAGATAGCACAGAACTTAAAAGCAATGGCTGCCCTTGGAGAGGATTTGAGTTTGACATCCTGCATGGGGTCTGACGTTCTCTTCTAACCTCTGTGGACACTGTACACAGGTGGTACACAGATGCAGGCAAAACACATAAAATGAAAATAAAATGAAATATATTAAATTATTCCTTACCTTTATTTGCTGTATGTGTATGGACATGCGCATGCCACTGTGGCCATGTGGAGGCCAGAGGACAGCTGTCAGCTCCCTTCTGTCTTTCACCGTGTGTTCTGTGGGTTGAACTCAGTTTGTCAGACTTGACGGCGGGAACGTTTTTTCAGTTTAGCCATCTCGCCAGCCCTTCAATTAAACTTTAATACATACCCAGTCTCCACGAGATTATTTTTTAAATGGGGAAAAATTGAAAAGCAGGCGGCAATCAATGTGTGGGAAGAGTTCTGCTTAGATTTACATTTAAGAACGTTGCCTTTTCCCAGAACCAACTTGTGGAAATGCAGGTCCTTGGGCCACCCAGGATCTTGGATTAGACTTTAGGATTGAGTCTACTGCCACATCTGTTGTCAAGAAGCAACCATGGTGGATAAAATAAGTTGCAGTTTTCAACTTCTTCCTGTTCTTGTTTCGCCAAATTGGTGCTAATTGGCTTCATTTAATTCGCTCAACAATCACCTCTGTTCTTGTGTTGGGACAAAGTTTTGTTTTGGGTTTGTTTTGAGATGCAGTCTTACTAGGTCACCAGTCAAGGCTGGCCTTGAGCTTCATGTACGAGACGCGTGTCTATCACCATACTGAGCTAATGTGTTTTTGAGACAAGGTCTTGCTACACATGCTGGGTTCCATCACTTTATCCTCCTGCCTCTGTCTTCAGAGCATTGGGATTAAAGGCATGCTCCACCATGCATGGCTACCAGCAATTCTTTAATTTTGTTTTGTTTTGTTAAGGCAGGTTCTCACTCTGTAGTCCAGGTAGGACCTTGGATTCATGGTGGCCTGACTGCCAAGCATTCTTTTAGGGGCTAAAACCAGCTGTTTCAGAGAGAGAGAGAGAGAGAGAGAGAGAGAGAGAGAGAGAGAGAGAGAGAGAGAGAGAAAGGGGGGCAAGCTGGGGTCTTCAGAGTGAGAAATTATCAGGCAGTGCTGGCCAACGTGGCAGAAGGCCTTCCTTCCTGAGCAGATCGAGTGTCTCAGTGATGATAAACAAGAAGTAGGTGCCAGGATTTCTGGAGCAACAAGAAGGTCAGCTTAGTTGGAGCAGAGTCACAGGGAATAAGGCCACACAACATCTTAGAGACTCTGTATTTTCAAGGGTTCTGTTTTCATTTTCCATGTGTAAGGCATGTTTGTATGTCCACATGTGAAGCCAGAGGTTGCAGTAGGGTATCTTCCTTGACTTCCTTTCATTTTATCTCACTGAGTCAAATCTCTCACCCAGAACTTGCCAATTTGCAAGTTCAACTCAACTAACTACAGCTTGCCCAGGCTAATCACCTGTCTCTGCTACCTGAGTGCTGGGATTGCAGGGAGACCGCCATTTTCACCTGGCGTTTATGTGGGCTGAGACCAGAGCTCAGTCCTCCTACTTAGGTGGAGGACTTCACTCCCCAGCCCACAATGTTTGATTTTTAAATATTGTATTGATTTGACCAAAAGTCTGAAACTTTCTGGAATTTTTAAATAGGCTTTTGTGTTAAGAATAGAATAGAAAAGAGAGAAAATAAAGTTGTTGGCTAGAAGGTTGGGTTTTTCTTCATAATCACTTCATTATCTATTTTGGAATCCGCATGCCCTTATAAGGTTAAAATATAAGGTTAATATATAGGGATATTTGTTATGATTAATTTTTCCAATTAATAATGATTTATCATGTAGTACATATGGTGGGGCTAGCAGGAAATATTTTTCAACAACAGGTCTGTCATTTTCTATCAATAGAAAATATTAATTAGAATCATGTTTGTTTTTTCTATTTCCACATCTGATCTTATTTCCTAAATAAAACCTCCTTGTGATTAATTATCCCAGAAGAAAATGGTATTTCACAAAGATGTGAATTCTCCTAAAAGAGATTTACAACATTTAGAAATTGTTTGTTTGCTGAAAGCGAAGACCCTCTTTGAGTGTCAACCTAGGGTCACAAGATTTCAATCAGGAACAGCTTTGGATAAGAAAAAAAAATCACTATTTTCTCTTTTTTTTCATCTATAGAAACCCAGCTTTCATGCCCGTCCTATTCTGCAGAAAAGCCTTAAATCACACTGCACTGTTGGGATTTTCCTAGGATGACATTGAGGGCAACATGTTGCGATCTCACTGAATGCATATTATTTTTGTAACCAACGCCTGGAAGAGTTTAACAGTATTTCTCCAGGAGCTGACAAGCAGGCTGTTGCTATGTATGCCGTTGGTAAGGGGCTTGTATTTTTAGACTTGCAGAGCGCCCTTACAGAATGCTTCCACAAATACATCCTAACTCAAGGTTGAAAGCCTGTGATGGTGCTGAAGATGTCCCATTGGTGGGAGCTTGGGAGAACAACCACCCACCTCCCAGAGGTCTAGCAGTGGCCTGAGCTAACGAATGTCTTCAGTAGTCCCAGGGCTTCCTTTGTTTGTGTGTACTCCTATAGGAAGGAGAAGAGTCAAGCACGGTATAGTGAACCATCTTTAGTTTCTGCTTTTCTTCCAAACACTTTACCCCTGGCCTTAGGTGCTATAACATAAACCGAAGAATCCTAACTCATTGTTTTGACATTGGATTTGAGTATGACTTTATTCTCATTGCATCTATAGACGGAAGTTGAGTCTATTTCCTTTACCCTTCCCTCCTATTCTCAAAGTCCTCTAACATTTATTTTCTGCCTACAGTTAGCCAAGCTTGTTTGTTTAACTCAAAAAGGAATG